GTACCGTGCCGACGGCTGTGCTGTGATGGGCCGTGCTGAACTGCGATGTGCCATGCCGCGATTGTGCTCTATATAGCGTTGTGGATCGAGTCCTCCCTAGCATCCGAGTCCTCACCGAACTGATCGGAGCGGTAAAGCTCGAGCTGCCTGAGCAGATGGTAGCTGCCCCAGAAACTAATCGACAGAGGGAGAACATTGCAAGAGGGACGCGCGCCGGAAACGGTCCCAAGGGACGCGCCAGGCGACGTGCCAGGGACGTGCCAGGGCACGCACCGCGGGGACGTGCCAAGGGGGACGCGCTACGGAACGTGCCAAGGACGTGCCGAGGGACGTGCCAGGGGGACTCGCCACGGGACGCTCTGCGGAACGTGCCAGGCAACATGCCAAGCTGCAATGCTAAGGGTATCGATATTGATGTACCGTGCCGAGGGCTGTGCTGTGCCTGGGCGACCTGGACACGTGAAAGCACGCGTTTCGCTCAAGACGTTGTCAGCACAGCCTCGTGCTAGACATCCGCCTGGGCAACCTGGACACGTGCGAACAAACGTCTTGCTCGAGACATCCTCAACAAATGCTCATGCTAGACATCCGCCTGGGCGACCTGGACACGTGAAAACAAGCCTCTGGTTCGAGACATCCTCAACACATCCTCATGCTCGACATCTGTCTGGGCCACCTGGAGGCGTGAAACCAAGCGTCTCGCTCGAGAGATCCTCAAGACCTGGGCACGTGAAAACAAGGCATTTCCGAAGACAACCCCGAGTAATTTTAAAAAAAAAATTTTTTTTTTCTGGGTTTCCCCAGGAGAAGACAATCTATCACACAAAACAAGCGTTTCGCTCGAGACATCCTCAACAAATTCTGAAAAACTAGCGTTTCGCTCGAGACATCCTCAATTTTTAATTCGCCGGCCCTACGCGACCTCGTTATTTATCGCAAAAGAAATTCGCCGGCCCTACAGCTGTCAAAACCGAGGGGAAACCAACTAAAAGAGAACCCTGGGCTCAGGCCCTTTCCGGGAAAAACAAGCGTTTCGCTCGAGACATCCTCAAAAATAATTTCGCCGGCCCTACTCCGTGCGAGCCCGCTCGCAAAATAATTTCGCCGGCCCAAGTCGCAGGGGGGCCGCGGGGTTAACCTACTAAAAGAGAACCCTGGGCCCGCGCCCTTTCCGGGAAAAACTATCGTTTCGCTCGAGACATCCTCAATTTAATTCGCCGGCCCTACTCCCGCACGTAATTTATCGCAGAATGACTTCGCCGGCCCTACAGCCGTCGAAACCGGGGGGAACCAACTACATGATCGACCCACGAACCCGGAAAGGAATATAGAAATGTAAGGCATGGCAACGTTTGAAAGACACCTGATTGGGCGACGGGCAAATGCAATGCTTAATGTATCGATTTTTATGTATCGTGCCGAGAGCTGTGCTGTGCTGCGCTGTGCTGAACTGCGATGTGCCATGCCGCGATTGTGCTCTATAGCGTTGTGGATCGAGTCCTCCTTTGCATCCGAGTCCTGACCGAACTGATCTGGATCTAAAGCTCGAGCTGACTCAGCACATAGTAGCTGCCCCAGAGCTACTTGACAGGGGAACATGCCAGGAGGACGCGCCGTGGAACGTCCCAAGGGACGCGCCAGGCGACGTGCCAAGGGACGTGCCACGAAGACGCACCGCGGGACGTGCCGAGGGGACGCGCTACGGAACGTGCCAATGGACGTGCTAATGGACGTGCCAGGAGACGCGCCGCGCGACGTGCCAGGGGGACTCGCCACGGGACGCGCCACGGAACGTGCCAAAGTTGCAATGCTGAGTGTATCGATCTTGATGTACCGTGCCGTGGGCTGTGCTGTGCTGCGCTGTGCTGAACTGCGACGTGCCATGCCGCGATTGTGCTCTATAGCATTGTGGATCGAGTCCTCCTTTGCACACGAGTCCTGACCGAACCGACCTAGATCTTAAGCTCGAGCGGCCTCCGCACATAGTAGCTGCCCCAGAGCTAATGGACAGGGGGACATGCCAGGAGGACGCGCCGCGGAACGTCCCAAGGGACGCGCCAGGCGACGTGCCAAGGGACGTGCCATGGGCACGCACCGCGGGACGTGCCAAGGGGACGCGCTACGGAACACGAGCCAATGGAAGTGCACCGCGCGGACGTGCCAGGGGGACTCGCCCACGGACGCCCCGCGAAGGAACGTGCCAGTCAACGTGCCAGCGCAATGCTGAGTTGTATCGATTTGATGTACCGTGCCGAGGGTGTTGCTGGGCTGGGCGGACCTGGACACGTGAAAACACGAGTTTCGCTCAAGACGTTCTCAGCACATCCTCATGCTAGACATCCGCCTGGACAACCTGGACACGCGCAAACAAGCGTCTCGATCGAGACTTCCTCGACACCGCCTCATGCTAGACATCCGCCTGGGCAACTTGGACACGTGAAAACAAGCCTCTGGTTCGAGACATCCTCAACAAATCCTCATGCTAGACACCCGTCTGGGCAACCTGGAGGCGTGAAACTAAGCGTCTCGCTCGAAACATCCTCAAAACCTGGGCACGTGAAAACAAGCATTTCACCTGAGAGATCCTCTGAATTGAGGTCCCCAGGAGAGCACAATATATAATACAAAACAAGCGTTTCGCTCGAGACATCCTCAACAAATTCTGAAAATCAAGCGTTTCGTTCGAGACATCCTCAATTTTTAATTCGCCGGCCCTACGCGACCTCGTTATTTATCGCAAAAGAAATTCGCCGGCCCTACAGCCGTCAAAACCGGGGGGAAACCAACTAAAAGAGAACCCTGGGCTCAGGCCCTTTCCGGGAAAAAGAGAACCCTGGGCTCGAGCCCTTTCCGGGAAAAACAAGCGTTTCGCTCGAGACGTCCTCACAACAAAATTCGCCGGCCCTAGACGACATCGTTATTTATCGCAAATAAGCTCGCCGGCCCTAGAGCCGTCGAAACCGGGTGTAAACCAACTAAAAGAGAACCCTGGGCCCCCGCCCTTTCCGGGAAAAGTCAACGAATCGATACCAAATACAAACAAACTCTCGACGTTCCGTTCCGAGTCCCAGGAAGGATCCAGGCGGCCCATGTTAGATACCCCCATGAGTGGCCTGGACCCTGGACACGTGAAAACACGTGGTTCCAGCTCGGGACCACCATGTTAAATACCCCCCTGGCTGGTGTGGACACGTGAAAACACACGGTTCCAGCGCAGGCCCTCTAGTTCTACAAAACAAGCGTTTCGCTCGAGACATCCTCGAATTTTCTGCGCGGGGGGCGCGCCATCCTCGACCGGGCACGCAAAAAGTCAACATTTCCACGCCTTTCGCGGACCTTACTTCGTTTTTTATTAAAGAAAGCGGGGGTCAGTGGACCCTGTTATTCATCGAGGATCAGAAATGGGGGGTCGATTTTCCTCGAGCGGGCACGCGCGAAACTCCCTTTCCGCGCCGAATGTGATCTTACTTAGTTTTTATCGGAGAAAACGGATGGCCACGGACCCCAATATTTATCGAGGATCGGGGATGGGGGTCCACTTTCCTCGAGCGGGCACGCGCGAAACGCATTTGTGTCACTCCGAATTGGACTTTACCTTGTTTTTTATCGAGCGGAAAGTCTGCCGGCCCTACAGAAGTTGGCACCGGAGACAATTTACAAAACTAAAAGAGAACCCTGGGCCCACGCCCTTTCCGGGAACATGATGGACCCACGAACCCGGAAAGGGATATAGACATGTGCAGCATGGTCACGTTTTCACGATACCCAACTGGGCGACACTCACGAAACATCCCACGAGACACCCCGCGAAACATCCCACGAGACACCTCACGAAACATTCCACAAGACACCTCACGAAACATTCCACGAGACACCCCGTGAAACATTCCACGAGACACCCCACGAACAGGCAACCACTCAACCATACACCCCACGAAACATTCCACGGGGGTGTGGTCGTGCTGGGGAGTGGTCGTGCTGGGGTGTGGTCGTGCTGGGGGGTGGTCGTGCTGGGAGGTGGTCGTGCTGGAGGGGTGGTCGTGCTGGGGGGTGGTCGTGCTGGGGCGTGGTCGTGCTGGGGCGTGGTCGTGCTGGGGCGTGGTCGTGCTGGGGTGTGGTCGTGCTGGGGTGTGGTCGTGCTGGGGTGTGGTCGTGCTGTGGGTGCGGTCGTGCTGGGGCGTGGTCTGTGGGCGTGGGTCGTGCTGGTCGTGGGGCGGTGGTCGTGGCTGGGGTGTGGTCGTGCGGGGTGGGTCGTGCTGGGGTGTGGTCGTGCTGGGGTGTGGTCGTGCTGGGGTGGGGTCGTGCTGGGGTGGGGTCGTGCTGGGGTGTGGTCGTGCTGGGGTGTGGTCGTGCTGGGGTGTGGTCGTGCTGGGGTGTGGTCGTGCTGGGGCGTGGTCGTGCTGGGGTGGGGTCGTGCTGGGGTGGGGTCGTGCTGGGGTGTGGTCGTGCTGGGGTGGTCCGCACCCTGTGATTTATCGATCGGGTCGTGCTGGGGTGTGGTCGTGCTGGGGTGTAGTCGTGCTGGGGTGGTGCTGTGTGAGGTCGTGCTGGGGTGTGGTCGTGCTGGGGCGTGGTCGTGCTGGGGCGTGGTCGTGCTGGGGCGTGGTCGTGCTGGGGTGTGGTCGTGCTGAGGTGGCCCGCACCCTGTGATTCATCGATCGGGATTTCAAAAACAAGCATTTCGCCTGAGACATCCTGAAATTTTCCACCTCGACCTCGATATTCATCAGGGAAAGAATCCGCCGGCCCACCTCAGTTGAGGCACTGGGGACAAATTTACATACTAAAAGACAAACCCTGGGCCCACGCCCTTCCCGGGAAAAAGAGAGCGAGAAACACAGGGGACGGCCGCCCTTGCCTCGCCGAGACCTCCTCCGGGGCGGGGGGGGGGGGGCCCTGGATGCGGCGACCAGTATCCCAAGGAGGACGAAAAACGTAGGGAGGGCCGTAGTCATCTCGACTGGCCCTCCTCCGACTCCGGCGACGAGGGACGGGGGATCCTCGGCGCAACACCACCTCGGCCGCTTCTGCACGGGGGCCTCGCCGTGCGCCCCGCCCGACTGCAGGCGCTTCGCGGTCATGGGCGCGCCGCTCGCGCGAGCGGGGCGCAAACGGCAGCACGGGCCCCCGCGGACATGGCCAGGGCGTTCACAGGCCGCCTGGCGCTGCGAGCCCCTGCGATGTGGAGGGGGGCGAGGCTGAGGAGCGAGGGCGAGGGCGAGGTCGACGACGATGAGAGAAGTGGCCAGCATCGACGACTCGTGTGCAACAGGAAAGATGAGGAAGAGGATGAAGAGGAAAACGAGAAGGACAAAGAGGACAAAGAGGACGAAGAGGACGACGAGGACGACGACGACGACGACGACGACGACGACGACGACGACGACGACGACGGCGTCGTCGACGCCGACGAGGGAGAGAAGGACGGAGAAGCAAATGGACAAGGACGGCGTCGACGCCGACGTAGAGGAGGCCGACGGAGGAAGACGACCCCCTGCCAGAGAACACGCCCGCGCCGAACCATGACCATGAGCATGCCCCCGAATTCACGGGGCTGCCCTCACGACACGGACGCGAGCGTCATGCGCTCGCGAAGCCTCCGCGACTTCGTGCGTGCATACGTCTGTGCTTCTCCCGCGTCCCTCTTGCCCCCCTTTCCAAAGAGTTGCCAGGTTCCGCCCCTGCGGCGGCGCGCCGATGGTGGGTGGGGAGCTGGCCTTCTGTCAGAAGGCTGCGGGGAGTATCAGAAGCCCTTCGGCCTGTTTAGAACCCCCCTGTGGCCTCGGACAAGGCTCTAAAGACTCTCGTCGTGAGGCCACTGGCGCGATTGGAACACGACCAAAACGACAGGCCGTTTTGCCGTCCCCGATCCCCGCGAAGCTTGCCTCGAACCCCCCAAGCCCGTCGTAGAACCACCCACCTTGCCCTGAGAAGTCATGCAACTCTTCGCGCGTGATCCGTCCCCCCGCTCCCCTGAATGTCAACCTTCTCCACGCAGGGGCGCCGCGATATTCATTTGTTTTGTCCTGCCGTCGGCCGCAGCTTCTTGCTTCTGCTACATTGACATCGGGGTCCAGGCGGTGGGGGGCAAGGAACCCATAGAGCAAGTGCACCTTCCATTTGGCGCAGGATGATACGTTGGCCTCGCGGAACCAGGACGGCCCAAGAGCTCACAGAAGAAACGACACGCACTGGATGACACACTTTTTCGTTACAGCTTCCCAAATGAGCACGTCGCGCGCCCCGCCGCTCAGCCCAGAGAGTGCCCCACCTCGCGTCTCACCCCGCCCCCCTGTCACAAAGGACTCACAGGCCAGAAGGGGCACGGGTCATGGGATCGTAAGAGGTCCCCACGGTTACCCGACCCCCCAGAAGCCCCCAAGAGGCTGTCCAGGCCACATCCTGCTCCTCCTCCTCCTCCTCCACTTTCTCGTCCTCCTCTTCCTCGTCCTCCTCCTCCTCCTCCTCCTCCTCCTCGACTCTGTCATCATGCTTATCAGCCTTCTCTCATTCCTCGTCCTCGTTATCGTTCCACCAAAAGCATCACCGCCGACAGCAGCACCATCATCATCATCATCGACAACATCAGCAGCAACACCAGCAGCGCCAGCAGACGTACCAGCAGCAGAACCAACGGCAGCAACAGCACCGGCACCACCACCACCAACGCCATCAGCACCATCTGCAGCAACACCACCACCAGCGGCTCCACCGGCAACCGCCACAGCAGCACCGCCACCAAAAATATCAGGGACAACAACAACAGCAGCACAAACAACAACAACAACAACAACAACAACAACAACAACAACAACAACAACAACAACAACAACAACAACAACAACAACAACAACAACAACAACAACAGCAGCAGCAGCAGCAACAACAACAGCGATAGACCTCTCCCATATGTTATCAGCTCATATTTTGTCTGCCACACACTCCTCATCATCCTCATCATCATCATCATCATCATCATCATCATCATCATCATCATCATCGTCATCGTCATCATCATCATCATCATTAACATCATCATCGTCATCATCATCATCGTAATCATGCCGATCATCCGCATCATCATCATCATCAACAGCAGCACCATCATCATAATAATAATCATCACCGTTAGCACCATCATCATCATCATCGTCATCATCATCAGAATCATCATCATCATCACCATGATGATCATCATCATCATCAGCAGCAGCATCATCATCAGCGTCATCGTCATCATCATCGGCATCATCGTCATCATCGTCGTCATCGTCATCGCTCATGGGCGCTCGCGACGTCCTCTCGGACGCATTTCGGGGCTGAGGAAGGCCGCTTCGGGTCCAACATGGGCCTCCAGCGGCCAGTCGGGGCGACTCCGGCGCCCCCGAGACGCTCCCGGAGAGCCGCAACTACCTGGTTCTGCGAGGTTCCCTCGACCAAAGGTGCTCTTGTTTATGCTGCAGGTCACCATCGAATCGTCGAAACACTACACAGCGATGAGACAGTCGACACGCCAAACGCGCGCAAACCGTCAGTTCACGCGCCAACAGCAGTGCGAGGGCGCCAAACGCGCCCCCACCACGGAGCGTCAACATATTCATTCCAGCAGGACCCAGAGCGCGACGCGCAGTGCCAGGTCTTCCTTCTCTTCCTCTGCTATGGCTCGGTCTAGCCCTCCTGGGGCTCCCTTGGGGATGTTTTGAGCGCTTGTTGGGCCATCCTGGGGGAAAGCGTTATAACAAAATACCACCCCCTCCTTCTAGAGCTCGAAACATCGCCCAAAGACATTACTTCTCCACCACGTCGCCCCTCAAAGGTCTCGACCCATTCCCTGGGACTGGTATTTCATCTTGAGTCGCTTATGAATGACGGCCCCGAGGCCCCCCCCGAGGCCAGAACAAAACATGCTGAACCCACGAACCCTGAAAGGGATATAGACATGTGAAGCATAGAAACGTTTCGAGACACCTGGATTGGGCGATGGGCAGTAGCAATGATGAACATATCGATGGTGATGGCACCGTGCCAGAAGCTGCGCTGCGCTCTGCAACGCTGCGAAATGCTGGACGAAACGAAACGCGAAACAGCCCACGAAACGCCCTAGGAAGCACCCCGCGACACACCCCAAGAAACACTCAACGAAGCACGCTAGGAAACACTTGACGAAACACCCAACGAACAGCCACGAAACACCCCACGAATCACCAAACGAAACACCCCACGAAACACCCCACGAAACACTCCACGAAACATCCCACGAACCACCCCACGAAATAGACTACCAACAATGCGCGCTGTCCTGTGCCGCGTTGTGCCGTGCTGCCGAGCTCAAGTTCCCACTCAGTTTTGAAACAGGACGAACCGAGAAGGGGCGAATGCAAAGAAAGACGGAACGCACCGAGCAAGGACGGACCGAAACGCGGCACAACGAGACATGACGAACTGAGACAGGACGAACCGAAGCAGTACCAACCGACACGAGGTCCGAAATCACGCTGCGCCCCCGCTACAGCTGTCACGACCACTCATAAATTACGCTGCGTCCGCATTCCTACGGCCACGGACCTTAACACTTCACACTGCGCCCACGCTCCAAGGGCCCCGATCCCTCGTAGGTTACACTGGGGTCGCGCTCCCAGGGCCCCGACCACTCGTAAATTACGCTGCGCCCGCACTCCGAGGGCCACGATCCTAAGTACTTTACGCTGCGTCCGCGCTCACAGGGCCAGGATCCTTTGCGAATTACACAGGGTCCGCGCTCCCACTGCCTCGATCCCTCGTAAATTACACTGGGGTCGCGCCCCCACGGCCACGACCCCTTGTAAATTACACTGCGTCCGCGCTCCCAGGGCCACGATCCTTTGTAAATTACATTAGGGTCGCGCTCCCAGGGCCCCGACCCCTTGTAAATTATGCTGCGTCCGCGCTCCCAGGGCCACGATCCCCTGTGAATGACGCTGCGCCCGAGCCCCCAGGGCCCCGACCCCTCGAATTTTACGCTGCGCCCGCGCTCGAAGGCCTACGATCCCTTGTAAATTACACTGCGTCCAAGTTCCCACGGCCCCGACCCCTCGTAAATTACACTGCGCACGCGCTCCGAGGGCCACCATCCCTTGCAAATTACGCGTGGTCCGCGCTCCAAACGCCACGATACCTCGTAGATTATGCCGCGCCCGCGCCCCCAGGGCCTCCTGGGGCATGCTGGGGCGCCCATGTCCCAAGTTTTGCAAAACAAGCGTTTCGCTCGAGACATCCTCGTTTTCTTGGCGCGGGGAGCGCACTATCCTCGAGCGGGCACGCAAAACTCATCAGTTTCACGCTTTCCGCGCCGCGTTGGACTTGACGTTGTTTTCTATCAAAAAAAAAAAAAAAAACGGGGGCCCGCGGACCCCGTTATGTATCGAGGATCCGAGATGGGTAGTCGACTTGCCTCGAGCGCGCACGCACGAAACGCACCTTTCGCGCCGAATGTGACTGCACTTCCTTTTTTTCAAGGAAAACGGGAGCCCGCGGACCCAGTTATTTATAGAGGATCCGAGGTGGGGCGGCGACTTTCCTCGAGCGGGCACGCGCGAAACGCATTTTTTCACGCCGAATTAAACTTTACGCTGTTGTTTTTTTATCGAGCTGAAATACCGCCGGCCCTACGCAAGTTGGCACCGGGGGGGATTACCTAGTAAAAGAGAACCCTGGGCCGACGCCCTTTCCGGGAAAAAGAAAACCTTCCGTCGCGATTGCTTTCTTGCAAATGCAACACAGCATTATGATGAGCTCTTGTCAGAGCTATCGTCGTCTCCTCGAGACGGAATCCTGGTTGTGGCAGCACGGCGCGATGACCATCCACCTCAGGACTGGGACGCATCAAATCCCGACATGCATTTGCTATCCGACCTGTCCTTGGCTAATCTCCGCGGGGTCTCTTGTAATAGCGCAGCCAGGGGCCTCTCAGGCCCCAGTGCTCGGCGTGGCTCTTAGGGTCCTTTCCTGGGACCCTCCCGGTCGACCTTAGGGCCATCTAGAGGCATCCGAAGCCCATTGGAATCCGAAGAGGCGAGCATGCGAAGCACCTCAGTGGTTTCGACTTGTCGGGGCCTTCTCAGGGCGTCGCGGGGCCACCAAAATTGCGCCCATCATGGCCGGGATGGTTTCGCGACAAGCAGCTTCACGACAAAGAAGA